CCACAGTTCAACCCTGAGCTACAGATATTCTCTTCTATTGGAATTTAGCATTTTTTAAATAAATCATTGTAAGAACGTTAAATATACAACTAGTGACCGAATTCAATTTCAGTAAGTTTAGGCCATTCACCGGACAGCATCTGTTTGGTCCTTCTCTTGAGCAGTGCCCAATCTCCTTTTAATGTCATGTAATAGTTTGGTCCCTTGAAATCCACTTCCACGTCCATCAAACTTCACCACGATGGCACTGTGGGAGCTGACCATGACACTTTCCCAGTTCACTTCAAACTTTTCTGTTACACTCTGGGTGCCAGGAGTCCCATCCCTGAAACAGGAACAAAGCAAGAGCAACTCAGTGATATTGCTGGGGGCCTGGGAGAAGGTTCTGGAGGACCAGTTAGGAAAAACCCCAGGAAAAGAAGGGGAAATACTCTAGTGGCAAGGGCAGGCTCTGCATGCAAAAATCCTGACATACAGGAAAAACATGATGAGAAAATATTTCATCAGTTTCAGTGGAATAGGAGAGACTATACTAAAATAGATTAGATTCCTAATAATGAATGCACTTGCGTTTATGTTTTTCTGCTTCTGTGTAACATTGCAGTTGATGCATTTCTTTGGAGAAAAATGCTTTCTACATACTGGAAGCTCATGCACGTCTCTATGCAAAGTCACCAGCGCTATTTTTGTAGAATGCCATAGAATGCTAGAGAGTTGGAAGAGGCCACTTAGATGATCAAGTCTAATCTTGCTTCATGCAGGATCTGCAAGCTCTAGAGATAGCTGGCTGCCTCTCACTTAGTCTGTGAGCCTCTCTTTCCCAAATTTGAATTCTGTCTGACTCTCTCCCTCTGCAACCCCTGCCCCCTCCCTGTTCTGCTTCTGGGGAGCAAGAGATGATTGTGCTCCACAACATCTCCAGGCATGAAAGTTCTCCCCAGAGGTTCAGTGATGACTCTGCAATTGTTTTTTTTTTCCATTTTTTTCATTTTTCTGAAGACTGCTGTCCGTTACCCTTCCTGTAGGATATGGAAGGTTGTCCTAGATGCTCTGGCTGGTTCTGCTAACCTTTGGCAGGTGCTAATCATAGGACTTCTCTACATTTTGTTCCCTAAATCCCAACTCTAGAGATTTTATGCAGAGACACAAGGAATAGAAGCATCTTGCTGCCTATTCATTTAATGCCAGAAAGCATTTTCCCCCAGGACTAGAAAACAGGCAGTGAGCCATTTTATGATGCAACTTATTTAGGATATATCTCTACATTTTTTCTTGTCAAGCTAGACTGTCAATTTTTTATTTCTTTAGGGCAGCTGCGAGCTATGTTAAGAGAAGCACAGACGATCATATTGGCGTCAGATGCTGAAGAAGATCTTTAGCAAGGCAATAAGAATGTTACAAGTAAAGTCAGTTTGATCTCTGTTTTAGCTTGAAAAGCAAAACTAAAAAAACAACAGAAGACATATTGTTGCTAATTAAAACAACTTCTTAAACCATGTAATCAAAAATATTCTAAAACAGTCTGCAACATCAGGTCAGTCCAAAGTGTCCTCAAAACACCAACTGCTTAAAGTTTATTCGTCTGGCCAAACGCAGAAGTTTGGGGTTGATGCCCACATCGATACTCTTATGAGCATCCTTAGGGAGACAATTTGTGGGAACAATGCTCTAGTACAGGAGAACTCTTCCTATTGTGAACTTCAGTACAACACCAGGATAAAACCACACAAACTCTTAAAATGTGTTTGAGAAGTCAGGGAGGTTTACAAGATGTGGCCAGAATCTCACCTCTAAACTTAAGTCTAAAACCACAAATTGAGCCAAATCCTCTCACCCACCAGGAAATCAAGCAAATGTGGCAGGAACTGGCAAGGGGGATGGATTTATTTGCAAAAAGAAAAAAAGAGCCAAACGTGTTACTCATCCTCATTCTTTTTGGTAGCTCTGTGGTGGTAGAAGAACTCCACAGTTCAGCCCTGAGCTACACATATTCACCTCTATTAGAAGAACATCTTCTCCAGCCCAGTTGGAGAACATACATGACTGTATGTGCATACATGTGTGTGATTGACCTGATCTGCATTTATTTAGGGCCCACCCCAGCCATGCTTCCTCATTCTGAGGCAGTCCTAATCAAGGGTTGTTAGCTTGATGAACACCAATCTTCCCTGAGCACTTGCATAATGAAGCACATTTCCCCAGAGAGAATTTTGATGTGATGCAAACAGCAGGCTTTGTGAAAGAGCTTTTGTTCTCCCTTCAGACTTGCTGACACTTGGACATATTCTAGCAGTATGGCTGTTCTCTTCTTTGCTTACAAGAAAAGTACGGTGGGGATGGTGAACATTTCTTTCTAAACCTGCCTGCTCCATCAAGGTGTTCCCAGGAAATGCTAGGAAACTGACCAGGAAACTATACATACAAGAGTCAAAATCGTTTGCCAAGAGAGATTTTAACATAGGGGAGGCTAAAATAGGACCCCATCCTTACCACAAAGCTTAAGGAGTGCAGTGCATTATGCATTTTATTGTGAACACCTCGGCCTAGGACGTGTGCCAAGGCCGGATGCAACAGAGCTAGCTGATTTATTATTGATCTTTTTAAAACTAGCAAGCATGGGCCACAAGGGCATCCAACAGGGGGAGAGGGGTAAAGAAAGTCAAGATGGCAGCCGTGGCATCAAAGTCCTGCTCCTGGTTTGCATGCAACATGCACGTCATGCGTGTAAAAGGGGTGGGGCTTCAATTGCGTGACTGCCGGTGCCATCTTGACTTTTTGATCCACCAATCCCTCCTGGGAACCCAAGAATGTATGCAGACCAGACCTGGCTCTGCTACGAGCAAAGAGAGAGAGTTCCCATAGTAATCCTGAAGGTCCTTAGAGAGGCCAGAAAACCCACCGATCTAGCCTGAGGGATACATCTTCTTGTATTAGACCCCATGAAAGCCTCCCTTTGCCCTCCAGGCTCCCTGGCTAGCATGGCCAAAGTTCCTGCATGTTATTTGCATTCACACATGCCTGTGTCCCAACATGTAATGCTAAGCAAAGAAACAACATTAGGAACTCTGATTCCTGGGTTCACATAACACCCCCCAACCAAACACAAACATACCATATTCTGTTGTGGTGTGTCCTTGTTTTGTGCCTTGGCTTAAAACATATCATTTGCAAACAGCAAACTCTGTCTTGTGTTTTCTAAAAGCAGCCTCCATATCTGCTACCCTTCTATCCTCATCTGGCTGTCGTCAGGAAGCTGAACGCTCATGCTTCTGAGAGACCTCTTTTCACAACTAGCAAAGTCTTGGCTAGGCATTGCTGGATATAACTGGGAAATTATACAATTGATAACGTTACTCACACAACGAGGAGCAATGGGTAATGCGTGTTTTCCGTGAAAACGGCTGGCTTTGAAATTTGCAGTGGCAATTCTGCATACAGAAGGCGAGAGAAGAAAGAAGGGGGAAACCATTTAAGCACAGGAGGACCACCATTCTAATGAACAACCTTTTTTTTTTTTTCTTTTTAGCAACACTCGGGTAGTTTTTAGCGGGAACAAAATGGCATGACGTACAATAGCAAATAGCACCCTAGCAGAATAGATCCTTTTGGAGAGAAAATTGGCACTGCAATATAAAAACAGCCACCAATCTGAAGCGGGGGGTTCTCCAAGGCGCTGGGTCATGGATCAAACATGCAATTAGGGTCTGCTGATATGTGTTTTCCCCTTCTCAGCAGGCAGATGATTGCCAGCTTTACCAAGCCATGTTTGAAAGCATCAGGGAAGGAGAAACGCCAAGAAAATACAAACCCTCTTCTCCAGAGTGGAATAAAATTGTTCTTTTTTTCCCCCCCAAAGGATTTAAGACCGAGCCTCCTTCTGGTGCATTTTAAACTCCAGGGGCTTGATTGCAACCTCCCTTGCCCCTTGCATGAATATAAATCAAGAAAAGAGGAGACTTAATTGGATGAATTAAGAAGTGCCTTTATGGAAGTGGCGGGTAGAAGAAATGTGCCCTAGAACTGCCGCTCACCGTGCTTCACTTTTTCTTAAATGTATATTTGCACTGGCATCAATAGGTTGCTCCCAAGCTTATCCCTACTTTTATTTGATTTTGAAATGTGAACAGCTGGGCCAATTTACCAAAGGGCCGGCAATTAAATTTTGAATGAGCAACATTGGAAAGGCAGTAAATAGCTAAATGAGTTTTCCTAGTGTACCTTTCATCTCATCTGGCCTAATTCATTATTCTATCAGACTTGTAATAGAGATGGGTTTGTAGTAGTGGTTAACATGGAGATCTCTTGGCTTAACATGCCTACATATATGTAGATAGGAGGGCAGAATATATATCAGTGTTTCTCAACCTTGGCAGCTTGAAGATGTGTGGACTTCAACTCCCAGGATTCCCCAAGCTGGCTGGGGAATCCTGGGAGTTGAAGTCCACACATCTTCAAGCTGCCAAGGTTGAGAAACACTGATATATAGGATTAAGCATTGAAAGCTAGCCTTGGAAATCTTTCAGAATCACAAAGACACAAAAGTCCACTATAATTATCATGTCGTATTTGTGGGTTTTCCCATTAGCCAGTCCACAGGTTAAGAGTTAAATTACGATACCAATTATGTGTGGAATTACATCCAACGCACCTTGTTTTTCTTTAAAATCACAATTATGGAACATGATTGGAATTGGAATGATGGAAAGGAATGGAGTGGAATGATGGCTTTCTGGAAAAAGCCTTTGGGATGCAAGAAAGAGGGTGGCATTGGTCTCCTATTTACTGCAGTTCAAATATTGCCTCCCTTCCCCCTTCAGTTTTCACTGAAGCTGCATTTTCACTGCGGGAATAACATTTTCTTCCTTGGCTAACAGCAGCTTTGGGGGGAACAATTTTTGCCAGGGGATAAATATTCAACCCTGATTGGTGCCTCTCCCCCAACACATCTTTCGCAGAAGAAATCACAACGCATATTAAATGTAATCGTAAAACTAATACCCTGCTTAAATTGGTGGAAGGTTAAGGTGGCACAGATTACGTACAACAAACTCAATCACTGCAAGAGTTTTGAGCAGGAAACAGATTTCTCTGAACTCATATCAACTTATTCTAACTTATTCTAACATGGTTTTATAGTGGGTTTGTCGGGATCTTATCGCTAAGTAGAAAAAATACGCCAAATGAAATATAAATGCGAACTGCAGTGGGGCAATGATGCAGTGGTTCTCAAGCACATCTGTTTCTTCTATCAGATTATTTATGGGAGAGATACTTTGGAAGAATGACTACCTAACACAGGTGTCCATGATGGTGGGGTTGGTGAATGAAGGAAGCAAATCACAACAGCCCCATCCTTTCTGTAAAAGTGTTGCGATGTCGCACGCATGTACAGAAAGGGAGGATCTTGTGTCATGACAGCATGAGCCCAATTTCATTATTTTGACAAAACCGTTTGGTCCTGCAGACACCTCTGTTTCTTAACTAATGAACAATGCCTCCATCCGCCAAGAAGATCCTTTCGGCCTAGCAATGGGATGGGAAGATAGAAACCAAGTGCCAAGAAAGAAAGCAAGGCAGATGGTTTACGGATGGGCAATAGGATCACAAAAGGATGTCAGATTTTTTTACTGTGCCCATTCCTGAAGCGGTACAATAACAGGGATGTCTGCAGGAGGGGCTCAGAAAAGTGAGCAGGGTGGCCACAACCATGTGTTTGAAGCCCCATCCATTTTCACATGCATCACAACTCATATAAAAAAAGGGTGAGATTTTGATGAATGGTTGCGGCCATGCTCAACTTTTTTGAGCCCCCTGAGGACATTCCCGACAGGTAATAAGAGTATTGGCCCTGGGAAGCTGATTAACATATCATGTGGGATCAGAATACACCAACTTCTTGTATGTTGGACTCCTAGATCTCTATTGACGCTCTTACGTTATAGCCTATTGATACTTTCTGCTTTTGTTCTGGGGCTGCTACCCAACTTACTAATTTGATTTTCCACGTTTTGGCCTTTTTTGAGTGATATTAATTTTTATTTATGTATTATAGCTGCCCCACTAGAATATGGGCTTTTTAAAATTAAAAGGTGAGATTATCAGGCCCTCAATTCAACAACAACGAAAAACTCAGAGTAACTTACTGTAATCTTGGATCCTGATATCAAGATATTCCCGCTTGGGCATCTGTCTTTCTGCTACTGTCTTCTGCACTCTGGCATTTACTTCTAGATCAAAGAGTTCTGGAAGAAGAAACAGGAAAGAATCTCCCATCACACAGGGAATTAACCGATTATACTGATTAAAAGCACCATCGTTTTCGTTACCCAAAGAAAGAGGGAAAGAAAGCCCAGGACTTCCGTTATGGAAGATTTGAAGCTGGAGTCAGCTTCAGGAAAGCAGGTTCTACTGCTCTGAATGCAGCAGCATTTCTTAGGATTCAGTCCCCAGTTTTGGAGAGTTTGGCACGCAGGAAATTGTTTCAATGCATTGCTCTGACTCGTCACAGCAGCGGGACTCACACAAGGCAGATCTTGGAGATGCCTTGTCCATGGTATTGGCCATTGCCATCACTGATGTCCTTGTCCAACAGTAGACTCTTGGATATTAGAGCTGGCCGTGAGATTCTGCTATATATGTCTGGGAAGACAGCTGAACTACCAGTGGAACTAGATACTGTTTGACAGTCTTTCCCCTAGAATTCTGGATGCCCTTGAAGACCATCTGAAAACTACAGTTGGCTTCTGGATGGTAGTTATGGACATTCCTCAATATACCCACATAACATCTTTACTCTGCAAGCAGCACGGGCTTCCTATAGATTTCTGGGTACAATTCAAGGTGTTGGTTATCCCCTTTAAACCCCTACATGGCATGGGACTGGATTATTTATGGGACCTCCCAATGGCATCTGCCTGACTCGCAGAATCCAACAGAGTGGCCATGTTGGGGTCTCATCCTTGAAACAAGGTCATCTTATGGGACCTAGGAGTCATGCCTTTTCCATGGTGGCACCAGGTCTCTGGAATGATCTACCCCAGACATAGGGTTGGCCTGAACCCTGCAAGCCTTTAGAAAGGCAGTGAAAACATTGGACATTTGGCTCAGGATGATTAGAGTGCCCATCCAGAAGTGTGCAATAGATTTGAGTTCTCAATCACTGATTGTTTATTTCTGTTGTTAGTTGGTATTGTTTATTTTGCTTTTGATATCTTTGTTTACTGGTTTATTGAATGCTACCCAGAACTGCATTGTCTGAGTTGGGTGGCGATATAAATGCTTTAAATAAATCAATACAATACATTAATACAAGAATTATTCTTACTAGTTCTGCTAAATGGCAACCCTTAGCCAATCTTGACTGATGTCCATATGCTATGCATATAGATGAATAAGTAGTACAAATAACCATGCAGTGGGCAGGTGATGAAATGCATGTTGTGAAACTGCCCCAAACAAAATTACACTCCAATGCAAGTACAAAAGGAGGAAGCTTACATTGAGACATCACAACACGTTTGGTTATTTTGGCATTACCATGGTTAAAAATGGACATCTGGGGAAGGTAGAAGGATTCAAGGAATGGGATCAGTTGTTCACAACAACTAGGTGAAGAATACTGATAGTAGAGTAATGGATAGATGTCAGTGGACATAAATGAGACATTGGAAAACTAGGGAGATGGAGCTTGAAGAAGTAAAGACAAGAGGAGTTCTCTCTGGGATTGGAAATCCCTCCCACCACAGGTTTAAGCCTTGGGAAGAAGAACCATCTGTTATTCTTCACAGAAGAGCCCCAAATTAGGTCCAACAGTTCTACTTGAATGGCATCCTTTTACAGGTGTACACAAGTAGGGAAGCAGTGATGGAGCAACAAAGACTTCATTCTATATATTTCTATATATTGGATGGTTAAGTTAGAGAGCTAATGGAGCATTTGTGAGAATTTGTTTATGCATCAGCTTCCTTATAAGGCAGGGAAATATTGATTCCTTTTCCTCCTACAAGGACGACTCTTCTACCGCTTATCCGCAGCCCATATGTCTGCCTCCATGAGGCCACATCACGAAAATCAGCCAATTCCAAATACTGATTTTCTCTCCTTGTAGAGATTTCAGCTGGAAGATGTCATGGTTCAATGTTAAACTTCTTCCTGAAAAGCTCCCTCTCATTTTGGTGGAAATCATCACCCCTACAAAAACGCCAAAGCATCAACTATTAAGTTTGATTGCATGTTAGAATCCTCATTTAATTATGGCTTGCCCAATTAGCTTTATCAGCACAAAGAGGCTGGCCCGCCTGGGACACGAGACCAGCCGTTCTGTTTGCTCCTATAATTGCATCCACAGAAAGCAAGGACAGAGAGGAAGAAACAAGAAAGGCTAACAGATATCCTAGAGATTTCTGAATGCATCTCCCAACCTTCAGCCCACAGGAAATCCTTGCCTGCACTGTGCAGGCAACCAGTTCTTAATTAAATATAAGCAGGCAGTAATATTGGGTGGGATTTATAGTTATCAGATCATTGTAGAAGGCTCCCATAAAGTGGCCTCTTATTATGGAATAGAACTATTTTGGGAGTAAGCGGAGCTCAGAACGGTTCCCTTTATCCATTACAGCAAGAGACTCCTGCATAATGAGCGAGACCATTGACGTCCTTAATCACATACAAAATGAGGCCATTGGGGAAAGCTTGTTTCTATCCACTGATACCTTTCATTCATTCTCTGTCTCTCCCAACATGCATTCTTTGCCCTTCCTCGACCTTGCCTCCTTTCTCTGCTCTCCAGCACTGCCAGCCTGTAAGTAGGCATTTATTTATTTTATTAACTGGATAAGGCCAACCAACTCTCTCTTTCCCAGAATATGTTGCCTCTAATGCAGTTCTGGTTTTGAATGTCTACCCCAGGGTTTCTCTACCTTGACAACTTCAAGATGTGTGGACTTCAACTCCCAGAATTCCCCAGCCAGCTTGCTGGCTGGGG